GATCTCTCCTCCCTCTCAAGTAGGCTTGGCCAGGAAGGTGCCCAGAGTCCCAGTTCTACATTCAGGATCCACCCAGGGCCTCGGGTGTTTGGGCTCTGGGTGAGGGGCTTTGAGTTTATGAGATCTGAGACCTGGGTAAGGGCAACTCAGGGGAGGGAATGAAGCAGGGCCACCTGATAGGTTGAGGTCTGTTCTATTTTTCAAATTGATTTTCTGTTTCCCCAAAATGGCAGAATGAGATCAGGGTTAATTTTGCTTTTCCAAATGAGGTTTTTACATCTCATAAGGGAGTTGAGCAGTCTGCCTGGATGGGCTGCTGCCTCCCTCCTCCCCTGGCCACTCTTGCTCTGTGTGCTTGGCAGTGTGAGCCATGGGTGACTCTGTGCCTGGAGGGCTTGGCAGTCGGTGCACATTGCCATGAACCTACAGGCTCACGTGGAGCATCAATGAAGCCAGCTTGAGGGAGGGGAGAAGACCCCCATGAGCGGGCATGATTGGGCAGAGAGACAGAGCCTGGGCAATTGTCCAGCTGATGGGTAAAAGAAAAAAACTATCCAAATCCGCTGCTTGATGGAATGTGGTATTTGAAAGTGTTGGGAGTGGAATCCATGATCACATTATCGCTTGTGTTTTCCTGGTACATAAATGAAAGGGAAATGCAGTTTCAACTCAGTGCCAAAGTGGGGATGGTAGAGGTGTAGCTGTGTTACAGGGTTCTTACTTGTAAATGATGCTTGTAGAAGCCTGGTGGAACAGTAAATCGTTACCAAAATGACACCTGCATGTTTGAAACTGGACATAATGCTGGGAAAATATGATGTAAATGATTCTGCCTCAAAATTCTATCTCTGAGTCAAAAAGAGCAGTTTGGTTCCATGTTCAAACATAGAAATAGGAAATGGTATAATTATAAGTCATATAACTATCATTCAAATTAAACCTTGCAATAGATATGAAAGTTATATTTTGAGCATTTGAAGACATTCTTCAGTATGCCTCAGTTTTGCCTTTTGAATCTGTGCTATAAAAAACTGGAATTGAAATGTAGATTAGAAAACCAATATTCTAATTGTTCAAGTATCATTGAGTCCAGTAGAATTTGATAATTGGTAAAAGAATATAAGTGACATATCTTTCTACTTTCACATGTGGAAAGTTAAAGAATACCACAAGAAGTAAATTTCACTTCAATGATAGAATTTGTTTTGGGGGGTTTTCTAATATTCCCAGTCTACAAAAGTTTATTTTTCTGATATTTTTCTTTATCTATATGATCATCCTTTCAGGAAATGGGTTCATCATTCTTATAACCAAGGTGGACCCAGCCCTCCACACTCCCATGTAGGATTTTTTCTCAGAAATTTTTCTTTCTTAGAAACCTGCTTTGTTTCTGACACCCTGACTAGAATGCTAACTGACCTGTAGGCACCGAATGGAAATATTTCTTTGTTTGCCTGTGCTACAGAGGTGTATTTTTTCCTTGTGTTTGAAGGTACAAGGTGCCTCCTACTGACTGCGATGGCCTATGACTGCTGAGTGGCCATCTGCCACCCTCTGCAGTACCCCCTCATCATGAACCTCAAGCTCTGTAGGAAGCTGGTGGCTGCCTCCTGGCTCATGGGAATGCCGGTCCACACAGGAAAGACATTTCTGATATTCTCCCTGCCGTTTTTTGGATCCAAGCAAATCAATCACTTCTTCTGCGAAATCCTACCCTTACTAAAGCTGGCCTGTGGAGAAACTTTCATAAATGAGATGTTGCTCTTTTCAGTTGCTGTGGTGTTTATCATGGTCCCTTTTCTGTTCATACTTGGTTCCCACAGTAAAATCATCTCCACCATCCTGAAGTTGCCCTCAACCACAGGGCGAGTCAAAGCCTTCTCCACCTGCTCCTCTCATGTCATAGTTGTGGCTTTGTTCTTTGGATCTGGAATCATTGCCTATTTCTGACCCAAGCACAAACAATTCTCCAGCAAGAATAATCTTCTTTCTCTTTTCTACACTATTCTCACCCCGATGTTCAACTCTCTGATCTGCACGCTGAGGAATAAAGATGTCATGATGGCCTTGAGGAAACTGCTAACTAAAATTTAATACATGTGCTGAAGATTTGATCTTACTTTCTGGGTTTTTTATTTAATTTTGTAATTGTATAAAAGAACCTTTCCTGTGGTTTACTTTCCTCCCCTTCTAATGATTCCTATTCCTCTTTTCTGAGGGTATTCTCTTATGCTGAGCTTCTCATACTAAGGTTGTATTTTCAAGAATTTTGCCAATAAAAGACAAGTTTGCAACAAATCTCATATTTTGTGGTCTAGTCTACTGGCAAATTAGTGATTTGAGAATGTGTGAAAAACTGTACAGTTGCTTACCTCCTAGTTGGTGTCTCATAATTTTTTCTCTAAAAACAAAAATGTATGCTTTGTTATTTTCATTATATGACTATTATTTTCCTAAAGTTATCACTGCAGTCAAAAGTACTAGATATGGTACTTGGAGAACATTATTTGAATAACTATATAACTATTTCTTAAATATTTAGATGTTTTACCTTTTCTAAGAAAGAAAATTCCTCATTACTTAGAGAATACCTAGGAAAAGTTTAAAAATTTAGACTCCACAGATGACACTGTGGAGACTGGAAAGTATGGTAATGAATCTTCAGTGTTTCCTTTCCCTGAAATTTTACAGGTGGCAGGGATAGAGACATACCCTAAAAGCAACTACAGTTGAATGCCTGAGCAAACGCAGGCAGCTCTGCACAGTTCTCCCATCTATTTTTTGTACATATCACCCTGTTTCTCTCTTTATAGACATGGTTTCTGACAAAATCATTAACAGTGACACTGCAGAAATGTTTTTATCTTGTTCACTAAAGAAAAGAATGAGTGCATCTTTGCTCTATGCAGATGCAGTCTACACTGGACTACAGCATTTTTTACATCATATATAAATATTCACCTTTGCTCTAAAATTGACTTTTCATTTTTTGGGTTAGAATATCAATGGAAATTAAAATTTAAATATTGGTGAATTTACTGCAATTCAATTCTTTTGTAATATAGTCCTAGTTGCAAAGACTAATAACCCAGGAAACATAACTGAAATCATTAAACTGTCTGAAGAAACAATATTCATAAGGAATAAATGTCTTAAAGACTATCATCCAATTTGCACTATTTGTGAATCAACCTAAGAAAGGGGCAATCTGATTTTTTGATTTGTTAGTTTTGAAAATCTGCTTTGTTTTTAAGTCTGTTTCTCCATCAACACAACATTGATTTAAACAATATATTTTATGCATAGTCATAATGTACCATTCTGCTAGTTCTCTGATGGGCATTGGGCCAAAAATAAAATGGTCTTAAAAACATGAACGAGGTGGGGTCAGTAATTGGTGAGGAGAGAATATTCAGAAAACTAACTAAATTCTATAATAGACACAGGGACAGTGATGTATAACAGAGAGGCCCACACATGGAAACAGTGAACATGAGGACACACTTGAACATGAAAGGAATTAGAATGCAAGAATAGAATTAGTTTTTAATAAATTTTCCATTTAATAAAATATTCTACCCTAAAGTTGATGTAAATATGTGACAAGAAAGAAAAGTAGATACTTGTGAACCTAACTTATCTACAAAATAATTCTATTCAATTTGAAATCCTGAGTATTAAGTTCAACATAATTAATCTTTGCAAATATAGTGTTTGTTATCTTCATGACTCTACCATGAGAACAGTCTTTTAGCACTACAAGTACTGTGGGCACCCAGCATCACATGTGTATGTTACAAAACACAAAGGAGGTTTTTCTAACAACCTGGATCTGGATGAATTGTGGCAAATACATATCATTTATTAAAGGGCTTGAATGCAATAGCAAGAAATTTCAAATTTTCCCCGAAATGGGGACAAGTGCTTTTTCATTTCCAGCAAACTCTCCCTACATTGGGGAGCTGACATCAAAGAGAGGAGGAAGGCAATGAAGTTTCTATTTAAAAAATAGCTCTCAGTAATGAACCAGAACAATTGCCAAATAGAAATTGGCTTCTGCAAGTTACACTGATGCACAAGAGTAGATGGTCCCCAGGGTAAGAGGGACTATTCCTATTTAAGGATATTAAGAATAAGAATAGTTCTTAAAATAAGCACAAGTATTGTAGCCTTCAAGTGATTTCCTGTGAAAAAGTGTGCAAATTTATAGGTAAAATATTACTTAAACCTTCTTGAACTGCTCAGTGCGAATTTGTGAAGGTGAGCTGTGGTAGAAATAAGAGACTGTTTTTCATAAGGATGGTTTCAAATTAATGAAAGAAAAAGAGCACGAAAATTTGAATTCTTTATCTGAAAATGTTATTTTATATAATCATGAATCTATTAAATTTGTTATTTATAAAGTTAAATAACATTAGGTATGTGTCCAATATTGTTAATTATATTAATAATTGATATAATTTATATGAGACAAACTTGATGTCATCAAATGAACAGGTATAGTGGATTTGAGAAGAAAGGAAAATACAGACTTTTGCAAATTTGGAGAATGAACATTAAGAAAACGTTTTATTTAAGAAATTTTAAAGCAGTAAGAATGCTTCATATTGAATAATGGTACTATAAAAGAGTGAGAATTTTTTTCAATTTTGCTTAGAGTTTTACTTGACTTTTAATTTTTAATTAGCATGCATTTGCAGTATGAGCATTTTACAATCATCTTAAGAAGTGTGTACATGTACACAACATAGCTGGATTCTTTTTTTTTAATCCCCTTCTTATATCCCACCTCCCTTTCTCCTTCTATTTATACTTTCCTCCTTCACTTATACATATTGATATAGTTTACACTATCTATCTCTTGAGCAAGGCAAAGCACAAATGAAGAGCACAATAAAGTATGGATATTACAAGCCAAAGGCAAAGTTATCTTGCAAATGGGAAGGGGTCAAAGAGAACTTGGATGAGAGGATTTGGGCAGAGGAAAGGGAAAGAGTACAATGAAGGTATGCTTTAATTTCTAGTTCCATTTCTGTACTTGAAAACTACAATGGTCAGGGTATATCACTATTTATAATCAAGTTTAATCAAACTTACACTGTAAGAGGACAATATTAGAAAAAGAATATAGAGAAAAGAAGTTGCATTTGATTAAAAGGAAATTATATAAGAATGGAAACATACAAAAGAAGACAAGACAGAATAGTATGATGAATTAGTCATGCTTTTCATTAAGTTCAAGTTTAGTTAATATTTATCATTCAGGAGACAGGAGGTGTTAATAGAGTAAGTCATTATTGTTCTGAGTTTAATAGATTTAATATTTGTTATATTGGATGGGAGAGGTACACATAGAAAAGCAGCAATCATGCAATTATTTGCTTTGTAATGAAGAATAGATTTAGGGAAATTTCTTCTACTGGACTGCTATAGGAGCATGTAAAACCCAATTTTAACTAAGAATTTTAAAAAAAAGCTTCTAGAAAATGGCCTTGAAAGTAAAGAAGATAGAATACAATTATCAATACAGAGAAAAACAATAACCTTGGCAAACAAGAGAAAAATCCTGTAAACTAATTCTAATTAAGGGCAAAAAAAGGAGGTGATATTCCTCTATGTGTTCTAAAGACCGGTAATAACGTGCATTTCTCAATACTCTTGGGTATCATGACAGCCAAGTGCAATAAAGTGTTAGAGTTTATCTCTTGAATGAAACTTAAATGCAAGCCACTTCACCTTTGAAGTTTCAAATCTCATGTCAGAGAAGAAGCAAGGAAAATTAGAAATAGCATAAGAGATCAAGTAAGTATATTTGCAGACCCAAGTAAAGTAACACAACAGGGCATGTCATTTAAAATACAAGTGAATCGAACAGCCTGAATACACCATATCTACAGAGGACATGCAAATGGGAACCGAAATATCAAATACCACTACACTGGTGGAATTTGTTCTCTTGGCGTTTTCTGATATTCCCAACCTTCAGTGGATCCTCTTTGGAACAGTTTTACTCATGTATCTGACAATTCTGATCTGCAATAGCCTGATAATATTAATAGCAAAAGTTGACCTTGCTCTGCAGATGCCTATGTACTTTTTCCTCAGCAACTTTTCCCTTGTGGAAATCTGTTACATCACAGTCACGATCCCGAGAATGCTCATGGAGCTTTGTACCCAAAAAGGAAATATTTCCCTGGTTGCCTGTGCTACGCAAATGTGCTTCGTCCTCATGCTGAGAGGCACAGAGTACCTCCTGCTGACCGCGATGGCCTATGACTGCTATGTGGCCATCTGCCACCCCCTGCATTATGGCCTGATCATGAACCCCAAATTCTGCATGCAGCTCGTGGCCGCCTGCTGGATCAGTACTGTTCCTGTTATGATTGGACACACATGCCAGATTTTCTCTTTGCCCTTTTGTGGGTCTAACAGAATCAATCACTTCTTCTGTGACATCCCCTCAGTACTCAAGCTGGCTTGTGGGGACACATTTTCCAATGAGATAGCAATCTATGTGGTGGCAGTGGTGTTTGCCACTTTTCCCTTTCTGCTGATCATCATCTCCTATGGCAGAATTGTCTGCAGCATTCTGAGAATGCCTTTGGTGTGTGGGAGGGCCAAAGTTTTCTCCACCTGCTCCTCTCACCTGACAGTTCTGGTCCTATTCTACAGAACAGGCAGCATCACTTATTTACAGCCCAAACCAAGGCAGGCTGAAGACACGGGAAAGCTCCTGTCTCTTTTCTACACTGTTTTGATCCCAACTCTGAATCCCATCATCTACTCGCTGAGGAACAAGGACATCATGTTGGCCCTGAGAAAGCTACTAAGTTACCAGCACAGGGTAAAGACTTGAAAATTCAGAAATAGTATGCTGATGTGCTGATCATGCACCATTCCAAATGTATTCAGAAATATCCAGATGTTTTCTGTATAACTATAAATTGCTAATTTATAACATGATTATCAAATATTGCTATGTAAAATGATCTTGGTTTTAGATATTTTTCTTAAAACCTTGATATTATCAGTGTAAAATTTTAACACTTTTGAAGACCATTGATTTCGTTTTGCAGGTCAATTCTTTTTCTCTTATCTGAGTATTGATCCACAGTCTTAAACAACAAGGTCCTCTGTTTTATCCCCCAGTAAAGAAAAAAAATACATATATTTATATATCTAGTTTTATATATTATCTTATATTCCTAATATGTATAATAACATAAAGAAGTTTTATTATTTCACTGTGTCATAATTATTTTAATATGTTTAAAATTTATAACTTATTCACTGCTAGACTTTCAATGTACTATTTGACCTGGAATTCAATATGGTAGAATACCAATGCAGAGAACAAATTTTATATGCTAATTATTCAAACATCTCTAGTTGATAGAAAATAGGCTAAAAGAATAAGTGCCTATTTTTCTCTTTTTAAACATAAAATCTAATGAGAAGAAATACAGCTCACTTCAATAAAGAAATTTATTGTTTGGTGATTTTCTGATATTTTCAATCTCTGATGTTTAAAAATATTTTCTAATCTATGTCAGAATCCTGGGAAGAATGGGACCTAGTGTCCAAGTTTTCATACCTGGATCAGCCTGGCAGTTCATACTCCATGCATTTTTTTCATTGAATACCTTTTACATTTCATATTCTTATACATTCATGACCTTACAGACTCAGCAAGCATTTTGTTTCCTTGCCTGTGCTGTGCACTCATCCTCTGTCCTTAGTCTTGAAAGATGAGGGTTTCCTCTGGACAGTGATGTCTGTGACAGCCAGGGCACTGCTGGTGTCCATGCCCAGTGCCTTCAGTGCCTTCCATCAGAGACCTCAAGCTTTGTGTCCAGCTAACTACGGACTCTGAGGTCAGCAGAGTTTGGCATCAGATATGGAGTATATGGCGAATTTTGCCCATGTTGTTTGATAGATCTGTGAAAATCAATGCCTTCTTGTGCCACATTCTCTGAATACTAAGGCTACACTGGTGAGGTACTTTTGTGAGCGAGACATTGGTCAGCACAAGTGTGATGCTATTTTCACTGATTCCTTCTGTGATGATGCTTGACGCCCACAGGGAAAAAACCATCCCACCATCCTCAAGTTATCCTCAACACCAGGACAAATCAGAACCTCCTGCATGAGGCTCTCAGTGGTGGCTTCTTGAAGTGCGTTTATGACACAAATCCAAATATGATCCTGGAAGAAACATATTTTTCTAATTTTTCTATAACTTTGTTACCCTAACCTTTGTCCTGGAGTTATATATTCTTAGAAATAAAGATCTCACTATAGCCTTGAAAAAAATGCTATTGTACAACATATAATGATTTATTTTCTCAATCAAATTTTGCCATTACTTAATCAGAAATACAGTTACTACTTTAATTTCTATCTTAATAGAAATTGACAGTACTTATATATTTGCTAACTTTATACTAGACCTTTTGAAATCAGAGTGATAGTAGGAAAAGCTCCATTCAAAATAAGGAATTAACTTTTCAGCGAATCTTGTGTATATCAGATTGCTCTATTACTGCTGTAGTCACTAATGGCATTTGACTCTACTAAAAAAATGCGTGATACACAGTCTAGTAAGTTATGTCACTATATTTCCCCTAAATATCACAGGATATGATTGTTCTTTTCTTATCATTTTAAAAATAAGAGGTCAGCTATTGAAGAGTGCTCCATGTGGCTGGTGGGATTACTGCACATTGCTCTAATTTTAGCTACTTAGAACTGAGGAAGGAGGACTTTGTCTTCCATGGCAGCTTGGAGGCCTCAGAAAGCCTGTTTTAAACTCAGAATGAGCAAGGGCCTGCTGTGGATGGAGTTCAGTGGTGAGGACATCATGGGTGAATAACTTCTCCTGGGAAAAATAAAGGAGTAATAAGAGTGACCAGGTCTTGGGCCATATTCATTGAATAACTACAGAACTTTTATATGTTAAAGGCATATGAACATTGAGTTTGCTTCCTTGTGATTTAAAACTTAACTTTTTCATCTATTTTTTAATCCAAAGAAAGATTACTAATGGAAGCTCAACAGAAGGGTTTCTGTACAATGACTTTAGAGTGCACAGTTTGTGTCAGTGGCAATAAGGAAGAAATGTATTTAAACTCTGGGCTGGAAACAAACTGACGTGATGCAGTGCTATAATATGCTACAAAGGGATTTATAATATAAATGTTCCTGACTACGAGAAAGCCTCCAAGTGTAACCAGAACCAAGAAAGTAGGCTGGTAATGAGAGCCTAGTCTGTAGAAGTGTCATTACCATTCTATATTTCAAATCTGAAGTTTTTATAATTAGCAAAACTGGAGATGTATATTGCAATATCATGCATGTTGTTCATATTGAAAGTTCATTGCTTCTTTAGCTAATATAAGTTAGGCTAAAAAAGAAGTAAATATCAGTACGTGAAGCATGCACATGTTACAGTGAGCAAAATATTGCTTCCCTAATTCCAAAGCCTGGGTAGAGGAGATGAAGGAGGAACATTAAGAAAGGCAACGGGCATCAAATGCAGAGCTTGGGATCTGGCTTTCTTTCCCCAGTGACTATTGTTAGAGTGAAATGGTAACATGCTCTCCATAGCATCCTTGCCTTCTGCAAGATCTGGTGGGGTCGCTGGGTGAGAGGTCAGGGGACCTGAATCCCAGCCCTAGGGTGACACTTGGCAAGAGAGTATTTGGAACAACAAATGGAAATGATGTTTTGCAGAAGCCTAGAGTTAAATATTAAGATGCCACGTGTGCAAGCAACAGAAAAAGAAGGAAAAGTGAGATACTGTTATTTAAAGAGAAATTGATGTTTTGAGAAGATCTAGCTTGTTATGGACATGTATACTTCAATTGTTCTGTTTGAGGGGGAAAAAGGAACTATATCTAAATCCAAGAGAGTAGGTATGAATTGTTTTATGCTGCTAGGATTTTTGTATTGATATTTTCTATAATTTCTAGCATGCTGCAAAACTCAGAATCAATAATTGACAAATGCTGAAATGGAAAGCTTTAAGCTCAAAATTTATATACTCAGTTTGCAAATTTATTTTTTACTTTCCTATAATGGATTAAACTGAAACAAATGGGATATAATTTTAAGATTATGGAAAGCTACAAATATGTATAATATTATGGTGTTAACAATCTACCAACCAAGTAACTGTAACTTTTATTTGTAATAAATCCTCCTGAATGATAAAATATTGTTTTGTCTATGTTTTTAATAACTTCTGTGGCCCATTATGTACAGTGATGCAAGTTATTTAAAAGGAAGCTAAACCGCAATTTTTTTCTCAATCATAATTTTAGAAAAGATACTTTCTTACTAAGAATGACAGTTAATGATAAAAACAATAACAATTTTCAAGCACTGAAATTTACCTACTTTAGTTGTCTTTTTTCCTCAGATTCCCAAATTAATTTTAAAATGAAATGAAGAAATATAAAACGGTGATCAAAAGAAGTTATAACAATCTGTATTTTAATCTTTGCATTAAAATTTACATTTTAATCTAGCATATTGTAATTATTTATTTTTAAAAAAGGTGTTACATCCCTTTTTAAAAGTATACTATAGAATATCAATACCATGACAGCCTGTTATCTGTAAACATGCACTTATAAATTACAAGATTTCCTTTTTTTTAGCATTCAATAATTATACATAATTTCTGTTGTTTTAAAAAGCACATTGCTATTCAAAATATTCTATAAGATTTTATCTTAAGTATATGTCACGCATGAAACTCTTTTATTATGTAATCTTATCTTCAAAACATTTACATATTAATAGTAAGGATTTACATTTTTTAGAAAAGTTTGAAAAACTTTAAAACCCTTCATATTTTTTGAGAAGTATTCACAAAATATTACACATAATGAAAAATGATAGCACATAAGTGATTGCCTAACTTCCTTTTGTGTAATAATTATCACTTCAAACTTTTTTTCTCTATATGAATAGGTACTGAAGATCTTATACCATTATTGCATCTAAGATTTTATAATTATGATCATGTGATTTTTCATGTTTTGCTTCAAATTTAAACATAGATAATGCTGCGATAGCTTTTTCTAATGCTTGCCTTAAATCTAAAAAGCATGTTTTCTAGAGTCAATGTCTAATTGAAAAATGGAGGTGATATTTAATGTAAAGCTACAAGGAGTAATTTCTATTCTTTTTAAACCTACTCAACAAAACTATGTGGTGACAGTGGAGCTATAATACTAAACTTTCAATGACTTAAACCCAAATGAAGATGATAAGTATAGAATATAACAATCCTATACAATAAAGTAAATAAGAGAATAAAAAATGAGTATATCATTTAGATTCATTGATTTCACAAGAACCCTTTAAAGTAAACTCTGGATATTTAAATAGTTCTTTTTTAAGTCAAACAAATATCAAATACTGGTTGTAAAAATCAAATATTCATCTAGGAAAATAATATAAACCCTAAGTTGAAATCCTGACATATATGCGAGATAGCAAAAAATATATATAAACTCTTTCTTGCTTTCTTCTTTATCAATCACACTTCATATGGGGAAAATAAGATATGGACATTAAAACTTAAGAGAATAATTTCAGAAATAAAAAGAACATATTATAATAAATACTTGATATTCATAGCAATAGCTCAGAGAAATCTTCAGTTAAAACTCATTACCTAGGAAAAAGTTACTGAGTATCCGTTGTGTTATCTGTATGCCACCGATGTGCAAGCTCATATACTCTCTAGCTAAAAAGATATTCTGTGATTTTGATCTTTTTGGAAACTGTACAATCATCCTGTATTATATTAAATGTCTGTTTATTTTGACTTCCACGTGATTCATCTGAGACATAATAATAATTGTGAGAAGTTTTAAAAAGTGAGAATAAGCAAAGGCAGACATCAAGACACTTGAGGATAGATTTATTAAGCATAGTTACCAGAATCAGATCACCAGTCCAAAATATTAATATTTTCATTTTTATTAACTATCCAACTGGCCAAGACATTATCAAACATTGATACATTATGAGATGTGGTAAATAAATGATCTTGAATTATAATGCATGATTACAATGCTGATTAAGTTATTATGAGAGGTCAGTGAAAGCCAAATACAGTTTCAAGTTTCTGTGCATGCAGGCATGGTGCAGCTATAGATGAGTTACAGGTAAGGGAAGGACACAATGCACCTGAAAAGGCCTGTGTGGTATAGTTTATTCATTACCAAAAGTTACACTTAAAATTTTGATGGTTGAAAACCTATTGAGAAAATATGATAAAATATTGCTGCATCGATATTCTGTTGATATGCATAAAAAGACTTATTTGGTTCCAGCATTGGACAGAAAGAATTGAAAATGTATAATTCTAGGTCATATGGTTTTTACTGAAATTAAAATTCACCAAAGATATGAAATACATTATATTTTATGATTTAGAACTCATAACTCTTACAACTCAGTTTTACTCTTTGATCCTCTAATGGAATTTGAACCCAAATTAGAAACTTTATGTGCTAATTCACTTTCATCCATACAATTGGATAATAAATATGTCAAAGAATATAAATGACATATCTTACTATTTTAACAGATGAAAAACTAAAAACTATAACAAGGAATGCATTTCACTTCAATAATGGAATTTGTTCTTTTGGGATTTTCTGATATTCCCAATCTCCAAAAGTTCCTTTTTCTGATATTGTCCCTTATCTGTCTGATCATCCTGTTAGGAAATGGGATCATCATTCTCATTACCAGGCTAGGCCCAGTCCTCCACACTCCCATGTATTTTTTCCTCAGTAATTTTTCCTTCTTAGAAATCTGCTATGTATCTGTCACTCTCCCTTGAATGCTCATAGACCTTTGGACATTGAAGAGAAATATTTCTATGGTTGCCTGTGCTACACAGACATGCTTTTTTCTTACACTTGGAAACATAGAGTGTTTTCTTTTGATTGCAATGGTCTACAACCTCTGCGTGGCCATCTGCCACCCTCTGCAGTACCCCCTCATCATGAAGCCCAAGCTCTGTAGCCAACTGGTGGCCCCCTCCTGGAT